CCAGGAGTGGCTGGGCTCCTTCTTTCTCCCCACCGTCCTCTGCCAGCTGGGGCGAGAGGCCGCCCGTGCTGCTTCCTCATTCTGCGGAGGTTGCCAGGTCTGGGAAATACCTGCCCCCAACCCCCCTACTCCCTTTCCCTGCCGGTGGCAGGTGGCAGATCCTCCCACAGGAGCAGGAGCAGCGGGGACTCTAATTGCTCACCTGCTGCTTGGAGGTGCTGGCTCTGGGCGGGGGCGTGAGGGGGAGCTGAGCTAACTGGGGAGCAGTTCCTCCTAGAGGGGACACCTCCTTGTCCCTGGGCCCTGGGGTCAGGGCCTTCCCTGTGCTTTTCCAGGCCCTTGTGTTTGCTTTTTATGCACACGTGCAATCATCTATTAGGTCTTGGATCTGAAGACCCGGCTTCTGTTCCTAGGACAAGGCCCAGGGGCGTTAGGAGAGGAAACTCCTCTTGAAGCCCTTCCCACCTTCGGCAGAGTTTATCTGTCTGAAATTACTTTCCTGAGTCTCTCCCATGGCTCAGGCCTCCAAGGGACCTCATGTAAGAAGGGTGGGGAGACATTTTCGCCATTCCAAACGTTTCCCAGGCTTCGGCGGTGACTTCCCAGTTCTGTCTCTTGCCGGAGCTTAGCGCACCCTGGAGGTTCATATCGGGGAGCCAGGGGACACAGGTGGCAGAGGCTGTTGCAGCAGGCACACCTGGCACTTCCCGCCTCGGCCAGGGGTGGGGGAGGTGCTGACTACTGTGGGGACGAGGGGAGCAACTTGGGCTCCAGCCTCCCCGGGCCAGAGGTCTCCTTGGGCCCCCGGGAATGGGCACCGTGGCCTCTGCCGGGTGGACTCTGCTCCCCGAGTGTCCAGAGCAGGGCTCTGCTTGTGGTCCCGAGACTCCAGCGTACGCTGAGATCCCATTGCCACACCTGACCGACTGTCAGCATCCCTCCTAATTAGAGGAGCCGCCTGGCGCCTCCCCCTTTTGGGGCAAGACGTGCTCCGGCTTGCTGTACCGCCTTAATTTTTGATCCTGGAGGCTCCGTGACTAATTATTTGGCAGTAAAGAGGGAGGAGGGGTGGAGTCGTGACAGCATCTCTGAGTTTCAGAATAAAGCTGCAAATTAAAGAACGTGGCACCTTAAAGGGGACGCTAATTAGATGAATGTGAAAATGATGAATTCTGATGAAAACAGCCAGATGGACGGGAAGATGGAGGTCAAGGCGGTTCCGAGGACGCCCCCCACTCGTCCTCCTCCTGCCCCGTTGAGTTTCTCAGCAGCAGGTCTGCTCTCCCTGTGGCAGGGCATAGTCATTTACGTGAAACTGGCCTGTAGCAGGAAGGCCTGTGGGCAGGGAGGCCTGGAGGTCCCCTTTACCACCTGACCTGGCCCCTTCGAGCCAGGCCCAGTGCACTGGCCTGTGATCCCAGCACTCTGGGAGGCTGAGGCGGGAGGGTCACAAGTTCAAGCCCCGCTTGGACAACTTAGCCATTTAATGAGACCTTGTCTCAACATAAAGAATAAAAAAGGGCTAGGGATGGAGCTCAGTGCAAAGGCCCTGGGTTCCACCCCCAGTCCTGTAGGAAACAAAGCCGATCTCTATCCCTGTCATTGTCTTCCTCCCTCTCCTTCCATTTTCTCTCTCCTTCTCCTCCGTCCCCCTGTGGAGCAGCCACAGACCGCTGGTGCCCAGACACCTGCAGCCCCGCCTGTGCCCTGCCGCAGTCTTCTTGCTGGGTGGATTTCGCTGCCAGTTCTGTCAGTGTCTTTAGCAGGTGACATGGTCATGGTGGGCAGGGGGCTCCGCTCTGCCTCCTGCTGTGTGCCTTGGTGGGCTTTGTCCCAGGAGCCCAGGCAATCCCCCACCCCATAGGAGAGGCCGCAGGTGGAGCCTTGTCATGGAGCCTGTCATGGGGGAGGGCCGTGAGTGCTGCCGTGGGCGCTTGTGCCAGTGTCCCGGCCAGGCTAGGTCCCCAGGGCTCACAGAGGGACAGATAGGGCTTCGCAGGCCAGACAGCTCCGCCCTCTTCCCTCTCCCCAGTTACTTGCACCCCAAAGCCAGGGCCCAGCTCTGTGGAGCTCTTTGACGGCCTTGGGTCTCGGTGTGCAGCGTCACAGGGGCAGATGGGGCAGCCCGTGTCCAGCACCCTGGTAGTTCTGCAGCCACCCACGAGGACACCCAGGCCACATGGACTGGCCGCCAGTCTGCCCCAAATGAGTGGGGTGAGCAGGGGTTTCCCGGGTGTGTGGGTTTCCGGAGCGAGGAAGGGGGTCCTGGGGCTGAGCCCCTGGCACTCCGCTTTTGCTTGGGACTTTCTCCCTCATCCGTCAGTCACCTGCTGCTCCCTCCTGAGCACCCATGTTGGCCACACCTTCTCCTGGGAATGTCCAAGTCTCAGCCCTGCGTTCGGGGCGTTCGACAGAACCAAGAGGTCCAGGGCTGGGTCTGCAGCTCCGGGGCCCAGGCCAGGCCAGCCCAGCCTGGGTGAGGCCTGGGTTCTGTCACAGTGGATGAGGGAGTGGGGGAGTGAATGCCCCGAGGTCTCCGCTCCTCCACTGAGGCAGCTGGAGAGGAAGTGGACTGCTGACCGCTGAGTGAGACCAGAGCCACACTGGGCCCAGGGCCTCGGGCACAGGCTGCTCTGCCCTTGTTCAGGGCCAGCTGGGGACGGGTCTTGGCCACCTGTGAGTCTACCAAGAGGGTGTCTCCTAGCACCCAGCACCTTCTCCCTGAGGCTACCCCGGAAAGGGACCCCATGGGACAGTTGCTTGGCCAAAACAGGCCCAGGAGAGGTGAGCGGGGCTGCCATGTTCCTTTGACGAGCCAGACAGGAGTATGCATGAGGTCCAGGAGAGGCAGGGTCAGGGATGCTGGATGCCACTGTCCTTAGCTCTGCCTTCACTCTGCAGGCTCCCTGGTGGAGGATGAATCTATCACTCTGTGCGTCCGTTTCCTCGTCGGTGAATGGAGCGGACAGCCTCCTTCGTGGCATAGCAAAATAATTAAAATTAATAGTGCAGATGCTCAGCTTGGTGCCCGGGGCCTGGCAGCAGGCCTGGGGAACCAGCACCTGCTGTGCCCGTGTTGGACCAGAACTCACCCCTGGAGGAGAGGCTAGAGCCAGCACGGAAGGGTGGCACCCCGCTCACCCCCTGCTCGGCTGAGGCTGCAAACAGGGTGACCTGTGACCTCGGAGGTGCCTGGGGCCACTCCGGGCAGCCCCTGACCTCAGAAGGGAGTGAGCGCGCCCCTCTCCAGCTTGCTGCAGTGGCCCCCACGGTGGCTTCTGACTGACCTGCATACAGGCGACCTGCACACAGGACTACTCAGACACGCTCTACCGTGGAGCTCCATCCCTGGCCCTTTTTTGAACAATTTCCCACCAAGATCTTAGCCAGCAAGTTTCCTTGGAGGGACTTGAAATTTCAGTTCTCCTGCCTCAGCCTCCTTCAGTGCTGGGACTACAAGTGAGCGCCCCCACCCACCTCAGAAGGCAGATCTGTGCCTGCGGGGTGGCCCCAGCTGTCAGGAGTCAGCTCCCCAGGGGTCCACGCCCAGTCTTGCTGCCAAGGCTGCGTTCTCCCCGTGCTTAGAGCCTCAGGACAGCCTCGCTGTGGGGAGGCCATCGCCCGGGTCCAGGGTCACTGTGAGGGGGCGTGGGAAGGTAGGGGTGCATCTGTTTGGACTGTCTCCAGGTGGGAGGTCCAGTTCCTCCTCGGGTGCCCCACCCACAGCTAGGAGCCCTGTCTCTTTGTGTCAACTGCTTTTCAGGCAGGTGGGGTGACTTTTAGACACTGTACCCCCAATACTGTGTGTGACACTACCGGCCCTAGGGAGTTGGGAAAAGCCCCAGCACCCGGCCAGCGTCCCTCAGAGGAGCTGTGGGTCCCTGAGGGCCGGTAGGGGCGTGCAGCCCTGGTGATGGGGTGTCAGTCACCTCCTCCCTTCCTGTGCCTGGCCTGCCTGTGTCACCTCACAGCCTCCTGCACCTGGGGTTCCGTCCAGACTCCACGGGACAAGTGCTCCCTGTGCTAGCCCAGGAAGGCTGGCCCAGGAAGGGGAGGTCACTACAGACGAAGCTCCTAGAGCCGCCTTTGGGCGCTATGTACATCTCCATGGCCGGTAATGCTGTGAATGCAGTTTCCAAGCCCCGCAGGTCAGACTGGGGCTCAGGACTCGCCATCCCTGAGCCGAAATCCGGGCAGGGCTGGCTCTTCCGGCAGGTGCTGGGGACAGTCCCCGCTCAGGTCTTTTCTAGCTCCTAGAGGCCCTGGCCGCCCCTCTGTCCTCCAAGCCAGTAGGTGGCACCTCCCTTCCTGGCTGACCTCTGACCTCCCTCCTTTGAAGACCCTGTGATTACACCTGTCCCCATCTTGAGACCCCGACTTCATGCCATCTGCAAAGTCCCTGTGGGCAAATCTGCCCAGAGCTGGCCTGAGATTTCCGGGGTGCAGTGGTGTGAGGGGGCAGGAAGTGGTGACTCAAGTTTGTCTCCCCAGGTTCTCAAAGTCCTTTGACTGGCAGTGACAAACGTGGGTTTAGAAACTGAGATTTCAGCATCGCTGCTGCAGGACAAAGGCACACGCAAATGTCAGCAGTTCCATGATTCGACTTAATGTTTCTTTGTTTTGGGGGTGCATGTTTACAAAAAATAATACCTGCATTTCCTTTTGGGGAAAGGGGCTCGTGTTTTCTTCCCCAGTCCTGGGGCTTGAGCCGAGGACCTCAGCAAGCTAGGAGAGCATGCGACCGCTGAGCCGCAGCCCCACCCTTGCCGTAAGGTTTAAGAAGCTGGGTCCTCTTCTGTCAGAAGCAGGTCTGGGGTTATTACAGGAAAATGATATGCAGAATTTACTCTTAAATGCCCCAGGGAGAGAAGGAAAGCCAGAGACAGGCAGATGCTGTGCTGGGCTCCTGGGCTCCCGTGTAAGTTGACACAGGCAGGGGTGACGGCCACTTCCACTACTGGCTGTCCCGGCTGTGAGCAGCTCCTAGTGCTTCGGGGGGCACCCGTCCCCCAGGAGGAAGCAGGGGCAGGTCAGGTGCAGGCTGGTTCCTGTGGGCTGGAAGCAGGTTCCTGGCCCAAGACTCCTGGCCACGCTCCGCCCCCAGGCTGCCCTGGGCTCCAGGCCGGCCACACAGCCGCCCAGCTTCCTTGAGTCCAGTGTCATCACCTAGGAAACCAGACGCTGCTGCCACCGCCCGCCTGCAGGAACCGCCGGCCTCCGGGGCCACTTCCACCCGGCCCCACCGACCCTCCCGGGGCCAGGCCTGCCAAGGTAGGATGGGCTCTGAGCACGCCCCCCAGCCCAGGGAAAGGGTCTGAGGACTCTGGGAGGCAGCACCCCCACACAGTGCCTCCACTGGCAGCCTGGGGAGGAGGCACCTGTGTGGGGCTGCCAGGTGCTGGTGCCCTGATGGGACGAGCGCTGTGTGTGGCACTCTGGAAAGTTGACTGCCCCGAGTGGGGTGCAGTCTCCTCTCAACCCACAGAAATTGCTCTGGCACCACCAAGAACTCACCCCACTTCTTGCCAGCGAGGCACCAAGTGACCACCCAGACTTGGTCCAGTCAGCCGGGTTCTGGCACTTGCCACCACTGCCCGCTTTGTGGGTGGTCCAGGACTGACCAGCCCTCCCAGCATTCTGCCCACCTGGTATTCCAAGTCTCTCTCAGGACCTCCAAGCGGTGCCCTGACCTGCACACCCAGCTGCCTGTTGTTGGCCCAAGAGCCCCACTGACCCCCAGGTCTGCCCACTGCTGATAACCAGGGGCACTTGTGTGGCTGGGGCATCAGGGTCCACTGAGCCTGCCTGGGGGAAGCACAGAGCGTGTGTGTGTGTATGTGCACAGGCTTCGAGTTCACTTGTGTGCAGCTCACATGTGTGTGCATGTGTGAGCCTATGTACAAGCTGCTGGTGGGTGGGGAAACCCAGTAGCCGGCTCCTCTCTGTGGTGCCAGGGACCGTGCCAGGCCAGCCCTGCAGCCCTGCTGAGTGGAGCATGCCTGGTTGGGTGCAGGTTTTCCAACCCACTCTTGTTTCTTGTGGAGTGAGTCTCACCCCTAGGGCAGGAATGCACCCCGGGATGGCCCAGGGGCATGCTCTGGACCCTCAGCTGACTCAGACCCCAAGGAGGGTGCCCACACCCATCTCTGGGACTGAGGTGGAAGAAGAGGTCTAACCCACAGGGCTCCTGCAGGGGTGCCCGTGGGCTCCGCTGGCCTGCAGTCAGCAGGGCTCAGCCTCACGTGGCCATTCCAGTGGACTCCCTTGGCCATTCTAGCGCGATGCTTCCTTGAGCACCAACTGTGTGCTCGGTGGTGCTGCACTGCACCGAGCCAGGTGGCTGTGGTGACCTCAGGGCTTTGAATATGTCACATATGGGGTACTTTCCCATGGGGCAGCACCTCAGAACAGAAGCCCCTTCTGCGGTCCCCTGTCCCACAGCTGAGGGGGGCTGGGGAGGGGTGCAGGCGGGTTCCCACCTCTCCAGGCCCAACCAGGGTACACAGGTGTGCCCAGCAGGGCGCTGCCCGCTGTGGGGACAGGTGGCACTCATGGGAGTGGAACAGTCTTGGCCCAGTTGCACCGCCGTGTGGCCAACCAGTTAGGGTAACTGTGGGGTACGGGGGCCAAAGGGTGCCGGTTCCGGGCTGAGGCTGCTGAGTGCTCAGGGTGTAACTGACACCAGAGGTGGGGGCCACCAGTGGGGGCAGCTGGTGGGGAGCAGGTTCTGTCCCAGAAGTGCCGACACGGCAGCGTTTTGAGCAGTGAGACCACAGAGGCCTGGGCAAGAAGGGGTGTGGAGAGCAGGGCTGAGCCTGGCAGAGCAGAGGCCCGGCGTTAGGACGGGTGCCCTCCGGCTGGGTTCTGAGCGAGGCAGGGCTGAATGGGTAAAACCCCTCAGACTGCAGGGTGGGGTGTGGGTGCCACCCTGGGCTCCTGCAGGGAAAGCCCTGATAGGCTGCACTGGTCACGCATGGCTGGTCCCACCTCCAAGCCAGCTCCCCTGGGCCTTTAGAAGAAAGTCATAGTTTCAGACCTGGGGACCTGCCATAGCCACCTATCACCAGGGCGCAGGCGGAAGTCAATACTGCTTCTCCTCAGGATGAAGTGGCACAAGTGACATGGCTTCCAAGTGGCCAGGTTTTCTGTTCCCACCTCTCACACCAGGAAGACTGGAAGTGGGGCTGGGCCCACTGGATTGAGGCTGCCCTGTTCCCTCGGAGGTGCAAGGGAGGTGCCTGTGACAGAGCGTCTGCAGGCACTTTCTGAGGTGGTGAGACGGGGCACTGGCCGTGAGGGCCGCCAGCCCTGCCTGCCCGCCCTGGTGCCCGACCTCCGCAGTTCCGTCCCTTGTCCCTTACCCTTCATCACCGGGCCTGGCTTGTTCTCCTCCACTGCGCCCTGGGCCCAGCCCTGCATCTGTGCCGGCTCAGCCCCTTCCTCCCAGGGCTGTGGGTCGTCATGTGTGGCCCTGCTGGAGGACGTGGGTCACAGTCACCCGTGCTTTGCAGAGGACACTACTGTCCAAGGCTGGAGGGTGACAGAGGGGACTTTGTGCATGGAGTGGGTGGGGCCTGGTCCACATCCTACAGTGCTGAGTTGCACAGCAGCGCCCCGAGTCCTGGCCGGACCCCAGCATATGGGGCGCAGATGGGAGGGGTCCTGGGTGGTCTGGAGGGCTGTGAGTCCCTGCCCATGGCAGGTCACACTTGTCGTCTGGGGTGTCCTGGGGTCGCTGGCTGTCTGGGGACTTATTTGGGCACCAAGACTTCTCCATTGCATCTGGCTGCACCCAAGTCTCTCTGTGTGGAGGGCTGGTGTGTTTCAGACCGGGCTGGTCACTGCCTTCTCCTTCTGGAAGTTGTCCCAATGCCCCGGTGGCCAGAGGGTGGCTGCCTGTTCCCCAGCTGGCTGTCCCCCCGCCTCTCGCACATTCTGAGCCAGCCTTGGGCTGACACAGAGCTCAGGGTTCTCGAGACTGCCCTCTCCTGTCCTCCTTGGCGGCGTTGGCCCAGGCAGGAGGGGGCCCGTGGGTGCCTGGCTGTGTCCACATGTCACGCGGTGCACCTTTCCTTGCCAGGGTGGGCAGCTAAATCTGTCTCCTGTCAGAGTCCTCAGCTTTCTGTGACTGGGGAGACCGCAGAGGCAGCGTGGGGGCTCTCGCCTGCCAGGGAGCAGCTGTGGAGGCCCTGGCCCAACGTCCAGGATTCTCCTGTCCTCCCAGGAGCTGGCTTCAAGGCCTGGGTGGGGGCAGGCGGAGAGGCAGAGAGAGGAAGCGCACTGGCCCAGGTGAGAGGAGCCTTGCGGGCAGGGGCTCTAGGCCCCTGCGGAGAGTGGGCCTCACCACTCGTGGACCTGACCACTTCGTGGCCGGGTCCCTGCAGACTGTCCAGCAAGTGACTCCTAGGGGCTGGGTCTTCTCTGTCTCAGGCTGGGTGCGTCCTGTCCGCCCTTCCCTGCTGACCTCAGGAGAACAGGGACAGCCCTGCCTGAGTCCCACAGAGGGAGGGGGCGTGCGTGTCCTCGAGGTGGGAGTGGGCTCAGGCCAGTGTGGGGGGTCTCTGGTCTTTTAGCCTCATCTGTCCCTGGACAGGAAACAGAGGCAGGAGGCCTCAGCCTCACTGAGCCATAGGGCCAGTGACATCTGTGTCCCTACCTCTCATCAAGATGAGGGGGCAAGATATTGGTTGATATTCAGAGCTGGCACAGGTGGTAGAGTCCGGCCTGGAGGACAGGGTGGGAGGAGGCTGGGGGTGAAGGCCGAACGGAAGGGGCCGGGACGGAGGTCCACTGTGGAGGTACCGGGGACAGCCCGGGAGGCGGGGGGGGGGGTGGCCTCAGAAAACGAAACCCCCACAGAAAGCGAAACCTGGAGGCCAGCAGCACGGGAAGGGAGCAGTGGGAGGCCATCCGCAGACCCAGGCGAGGCGGGCCTCTGGGCTGCTCAGGCGAGTCCCTCGGCTTCTGCGTGCCTGCTTGCTCACGCTGAACTGGGCCGGGGCCTGGTGAGGTGGCCTGGGGCCTGGGACCCGGTGGATAGCCAGCCAGGACCGCAGAAGCCCAATATTCAGGCCACCAAATGCACGTGGTGGGTCCCTGATCTCTGCCCTGCAGGGCCCGGATGCCACTTCACCCCCTCCCACCCCGCGGTGACAGCGGAAAGGCAGAGCCTGCAGGGAGACAGTGGAGTGCCCAGCCAGCAGGTGGCTGTGCCAGCGCGGGGCACTCACGGGGGACGGGGGGCAGGGTGTCCTCTCCAGCCCTGCCCGTGTGATGCCCTGGGCCACCTCCAGGCCAGCTGCTGGTGCCACATGACCCCTCCCTGCATCACACTCTTTCCTGGGACTCCTCAGGGTGCAGCAGTGTCTGGGGCCCTGGAGCCCAGGAGCCCACTGGGGTGAGACCTGGCTGGGGTGTGTGGGGTGCTCTGCTGGTTTCTTCTCTCACCGGGGGTCACTGCCAGAAACACAATGTCCCTGGCCCTGCTGCAGGGCGAGGGCGGCAGGGGCTATAGGCGGGGCTGGGTCCTGGGTTGCGTCCCTGACTGAGGGCAGCTGGACAGGTGTTGGGCGCTGCTCGAGGCGAGGGTCAGTGGGGCTGGGGGCATGGGCAGTGCCTCTGCACTGAGTCACTGTGGGGATCTGGGCCTATCGGCACTGCTCTGTAGTTTTCCAGGGAGGGCAGGAACTTTGCAGCTCCTGCTCCCTGGCGGCCTGAAAGTCCATTCCTGCAAGATTCCATGTCTCCTTTCCCTCTTCTCTTTGTTTATTTGACGTGTGAGACAGGGTTTTTGATCTGTAGCTCCAGCTTGCCTTGAGAACGCACTATGTAGTGCTGGCTGGCCTTGAAGTCAAAGCCAGCTTCCTGCCTCAGCCTCCTGAGTGCTGAGATGACAGGTGTGCGCCACCACTCTGGGCTCAGGTCCTCTCTTGCAGGAGGAACTGGAGTGGAGCTGGTGGCCTCCTGCAAGGGGCTGGAGGGAGGGCCTGGTGGGTCAGCCTAGAGAGCAAGCCATGCAGAGCCCCAGGCTGTCCCCAGAGCCACACAGACCCATGCTCTGAGCCTGGACTCACACACATCCGAGCCTGAGGCCGCTGCCCACTCTGGTCTGGTAGCCCCTTTGCATCCCCGAGTGGGCCGGCACTGGTGGACATGGCCTGTGGCAGCAGCAGAGGCCTGTGCTGAGGATGCTCTCTGTCCCAAGAGGTTGGGACTGGGGTTGAGGCTGGAGCAGGGTCTGGGTCCTGAAGGATAGGAGGGGTTCACAGGACACCACTGTGCCCAGCTAAGGCCCACACGCAGGCACAGTGCACAATTGTGACCCTCATCAGGGGCAGGAGCCATCCACTACCCTGCTGGGACCCCAGGCCCCAGTACAGGGGTGTACGGGCAGCCCAGGTCGTGTGGCAAGGCCACACTGTCCCTGTCCCTTCCTGTCTCTGTCTCTCTGGCCCCCTGTGTCTCCATGTCTCCCTCTCTGTCTCTGATCTGTGTCTCTGGGAAGTAGGTCATGGGCCGGCAGAGCAGGGAGCAAGTAACTGGGTACCAAAAGGAGTTCGGCAAACAACAGGGCAGGGCCACCAGGCTGGACCCCAGGCTCCTCTGTCACCCAGGCGGTGGTGACCTCTGAGCCTGGAGTCAGGTACTGAGGGGGCCTTCGAGGGCCTGGACAGGACGGCGCGGCCCTGAGGTGGGCTGAGGGGAGGGGCGCAGCCATAGTGGGGCATTCTATCCCCTGAGAGGACAGCAGGCCTGGGTCCACTGGAGGCGGAGCTGCAGGGCTGCAGAGCACGGGGTCTGCCGAGCCCCTGGGGCCCTGGACCATGGAAGCCCCGCTCCCACAGCCTGTCCCCAGGTCAGGGCTTCTGTGGTGCTTTGTTTGCAGGCCCAGGGCACCTGTACCTTCCAGTGTGGGTTGAGCTGCCTCTGTCTGTCCTGGTGGTGCAGGCTCTGGAGGAAAGGACAGGACCCACCCCGTGTGCCCAAGGACTGGCCACTGCGGGTAGGGCTCCAGAGTGGGGCTTGGCCGGATGGAGCGCTGGGCTCCGATCCCCTCCTCGGGCTGCTCCTGTGGGAGGGCAGGCTGGGGGCCCAGGCCCTCAGCTGAGAGGTCAGTGCCGCTCCCTGGCCAGGCGTGTTGGCGGCAGCTGTGGGTGAGGACTTGGAGAGGCATGAGGACATGGATCTGATTTCTCCAGGTGGCCAAGTGAGCATCCAAAATAACTAGCAGTGCTGCCCACCTCTTGTGATTCTTAAATTAAAAAAATATTGAGCCCGGTATGGTGGTGCACTCCTGTGATCCCAGCACTCTGGGAGGCTGAGGCAGGAGGATCACACACTGGGGCCCTGCTGGCCAACTTAGGAACTCTGTGAGACCCTATTTCAAGATTAAAAACACTTTTTAAAAGCTGGGAATGTGAGTCCCTGTGGAGGGGCAGTGGACAACCCTGGATGTGAGGCACGATTCCCGCTGTCTGGCCCTGGAGCAGCACCGTCCCCACCCGGGGTGCCTGGGCCCTGCCGCCTCTGCCCACGGATCCGTGCATTGCCCAGCAGCGAGTCCTGAGCTGTGGCACCTCACGCCCGGCTTCCTAAGCTCCGTCTGTGCTGGGGGGACCCAGCTGTAGCCTTCCTGGAGACTCTATGGGGCAAAGCAAGTGGGAGCCAGAACAGAGCCGGTCGCTTTTGCCTCTGTGCTCAGGGAGGACATCTGTGGGGAGGGGACAGAGCCAGTGGCCTCCACCTAGGCCTCCCAGGCCCGTTCTCGGGACCTGACCCCCAGGGGCGCCCTCCCCTGCCCAGGCCCCGTGTCCCGAAGTCCCTGTCATACCAGCAGCCGAGCCCCAGCCTGCCTCTCTCCTCCCTGCCCTGCAGCCCCCAGCGCCAGCCCCTGTTCCAGGATCCGCAGCCTGGCACACATACATTGGCCCCAGGAGTGCGCTGCTGGCCTCTGTCAGTGCCAGCCTGCCTGGGGACAAGGGCAAGAGGGGCAGATTGCAGGCCATGCCCTCCGCCCCGCCAGACCCGGGCATGTCTGGGCCTGCCTGCTTGGGCACCGGGCACTGCGGGGCGTGGCGGAGCTGATCCCCACTGGCAGGTGGGGATGGTGGGCAGCGTGGGCCAGGGTTCCACGCCCTCTCTCCCACTGCGGACAAGGGCCTGCATGGCCTCCTGCGTGACTGGCGTCATGCTGGTGTCCCCATCCTTGGCCCTGGGGGCTTCTTTGCCTCCACTTTGTCACAGAGGAGTGATGGGAGGAGCCCGATTCCACAGCCGCCCTCCAGCTGGTGGCTTCCCGTGTACTGTACGGGAGGGTGACAGGGTCTGGTCTGAGCTATGTTCAGGCCCTGGGCATCCGGAAGCCCAAACCTGGGCTGAGTCCATCTGTCCACAGCCCGTGGTTCACAGCGGGGACCTCTCACGTCCTCATGGCTCACCCTTGCCCAGGCCCAAGGCAGCCAAGGGAAGTGCTGCCTCTCTTCCGTGGCGAGCTCCTGTCCAGGGCCCACGGGCTGGACCTGAGTCCAGGTCTGGGTGGTTGTCGTGGTCACAGCTGCCTATGCTGGAGGATGAGCTGGACACGGAGGGCACAAGGGGGCCGGGTAGGGTGGACACTGGGCCCGTGCACCGGGACATCCCTGGGTCATTCTGGGCCCTGTCCACTGCCCCTGGGCACTAGAGGAAGACAGTGGAGTCATTTCCAAGGCTCATGCATCCTTCCTTCCTCCCCAGTGTGAGCCGCCTTGTGGTGACCGGTGGTGGCGGCACGTGGGACATGGCCCAGCCCTCCTCCTCCTCCGCCGCCCCTGACGAGGGGTCCACCTTCGAACATCTTTGGAGCTCACTGTGAGTAGGTCCCTGGGCCCAAGCTGAATGGAGCCGGGTGGGGGCTGCACCGCCTGGTTCTCCCACCAGCCAGAGGAGGCAGAGGACCGGAGGAGGAGCAGGGGCCGGGACCCTGGGACATGAATGCCACCTAGCCCGGGTACTGATGGCTGTGTCCCTGCCCCCGGCCAGAGAGCCAGACAGCACCTACTTCGACCTCTCTCAGCCCAGCCAGGGGAACACGGAAGCCGTTGGCGGCGCAGAGGCCGGCATGGACGTCTTCCAGCTGCAGGACGTGAGCTCTCCCGTCATGGTGAGTGGGCCTGGGGGTGGCTTCATGCTTGGGTTGGCCGTGGATGTTGCCTGCGGTGAATCGCTCTGTTGTGAGTATGGAGAAGCTTCGGAAGTGACCATTCTCGGAGGTGTCTTCCAGGTGTCACTGGCTTTCGGGTTTTGAGTCTGTTGCAAGTTCCCACCTCTTCGGTTTATTGGGGATGAGAAGTTGCCGCCTCCTTGGCCGGGCCCTGGTCTTTGGTGCTGGCCTACGGTGTTGTTTGGGACCCCTAGCCGATCTCAGTCTTGGTATCCCAGGAGGGACCACTGGTTAGAACCACTGTCGCCTTGGCTAAAGTGGTACCATCGGCAGTCACAACAGCAGCATCAAACACAGCCTAGAGAATGCCACACTGGTAATAGTTTGCCACCTTTATCAATAGGAGCAAGGGTGTATGATAAAATCTAAAATGAACCAGAAAGTTATATACAGCACATAAGCCCTCAGCATGGTGATTTTACCCTCGGGAGAAAATGTAAAGGGTGTTGGCGTCTGTGGGGGGAATAGAGAAGAAAAAAAAGAGGAGGAGGAGGAGGAAAGGGAGGAGGAGGAGGAGGAAGGAAGAAGGCAGGAGGGCAAGAGAGAAGGCAGAAATAGCAAGAACAGAACAGAAGCACAGTAACAGAAGAACTAGCAACTGTCTTCACGCTCAGATAAAAACAAGAACAAACCATCAAGGAGAAAGAAGACAAAGGCCAAAGCAGGAAAAGAAAGAGGGAAAAAGAAGGAACAGGGAAAGAAAGCCCCCTGCCAGGCTGGCCTGCTGGACTCTACCTGCCCACGCTGGCTGCGGCCGCAGGACTGTTCTGGCTGCAGACCCTCCTGGGTCCCGGGACCGCCGCCCTCGCTCCCGTCCTCCGGCTGCTGTCTTCCAGCATCTGGACACGAAAGCTCAGGGGTGCTATCTCTGCTGCTCCCCACTCCCCGTCTTCCCAGAAGTCCGGCCGGGAGGATGGGACGTGGGGCAGCCGAGGTGGGGTTGAGCCTGCAGAAGCAGGGAGGCCTTCAGGTGCCAAATCAGGTCTGCCAGGACACTGAGCTGCACTGGGAACATACTGGCTCGGGTAACTGTCGGCCCAGAGGTCAGATCCAGAGGTAGGAAGGGCGTCAGGAGGGGCCAAGCCTGGGGGAAGAAAGGCCTGGGGAGGCGGCTGGACACGGGCAGGAAGGCCTTCAGCCAAGCTGGTCCCGGTGCTCCTTGCTGCTTGCCTCTCCTCCCCTGGCTCCTCCCCAGCAGCCCCGCCTCACATGGTGGAGGGGGCCAGGCTGTGCCAGTGCTCCCACACCCCAGGGCGCCCTGTCTGAGACAGTAGGGGTGGCGCCAGAGGAGCAGTGGGGACCCTGGCACTGCACCCCACCCTGGCAGATGTGAGTGGTAGGCAGGAGCCCCATGCCTTTTTTCCTCTTGGCTTCTGGTGGCATGGGTTGCCCTCTGTCCCTGCAGGGGGCAGCTCACCCACATCTGGTGTCTGTTAGGTTTCTATTCTATAGGGGAGGAAACTGAGGCAGAGGGGAGGGGAGGGAGTGCCAAGATCCGACCGGTGGTGTCACCCTGGGCAGTGAGGGGGGAGCTGTCTTCTCTTTCCCTTCTGGACGATCCTTGTCCAGCACTGCTCTTTGGAGGCAGGGTCCTGACCTCCTGTCACCCACCTCCTGGATGTCAGTGTCCTCTCGTCCAGAGGGGCAGCTGCTGGTACCAGGCCACAGTGAGAAAGGAACTCAAAGACCCCTGAGAGGGCAGAGGTCTGAGGGGTCAGAGCCGCACAGCTGGGACCTCGGGGGCCGGTGGAAGAGGGGCTGTGGTCCCCACCCAGCCTGCTGCCCGGTGCCCGGGGTGCCCCACTGAGTGCTAGGAGCCCATGACTCCCACACGGGCTGGTAAGGGTGGAGCTTGCACCTCTGCAGACGGACCACTTGCTCAGGTAGCGACATGCCAGGGAGAGCCATGCGCGGAACTCCTGGGGTGCAGCTCTGCTTCTTGAGGTGGGGAATCCCCAGGTCCCAGGCTGCCGGCTCTCTCTGCCAGCCTCCTCCTGATGCTGCTGCCCACTGTACTCAGACGGCAGCCTGGCCCCAAGTGTCCGAGGGTGGCGATGATGACAGGGTGACAAGGTCCCAGCCTGGCTGCAGCAGGAGCTGGAGCCGACCGGGGTGGAAATGAGATGATCAGCGTCGGAGTCCGTGACCATGCTGGTTATTAAGTCAGAGGCGAGAATGACGGGAGCACCCCGCTGGGGACACGGTGGCTTGGCCAGTGTGAGCCTGCCCAGCACAGCACAGGCCCAGCGGTCCCTGAGGGCTGGACTCTTCGGAGAGCACAGGCCAGTCTGAGTGTCCCGTTGCTGTTGGTGGTGAGGTCCTGGCCTGGGGAGAGGGGACAGGGCGCAGTGCACGGGGTCTCCAGAGGAGCTGCCTGCCTGTTGGCCAATCTCCTGGGCTTGCGTGTCCCTGGAGTTCCAGGTTAGGAGTTGGGGTCGGTGGCCTACCCAAAGGGCCCCTGAGGAGGCTGATGAACATTCCCGAGGGGCATCACATGCAGGAAGGTGGAGCTTATGCTGTGGCTCATGTGGGGATCTGCGGTACAGGATGTCACTGTCAACATACGGTGACATCAGTTCTGGAAGCCAGACACCTTGAGGTCTGCTCTACAAGTGTGGGCGTTGTTTTGAAGCAGCCCCTGGGGTTGGTTTTAGTTGACCGAGGAGCTGGACCGAGACTCTTGCTGATGGCATCTGGCCGTCCCCCTGCACCAGGGCTGCCCCCCCCAATCCGGCATGGAGGGCGTGGCTCGGGTGACTGTCCTGCAGTGGGTGGGATGTTGGATCCCATGGCAGTGGCTGCCACGCTGGGGGACCTGGAATGGGCGGCATGGGTCCTATGGACTGAGGGGCCTGGTCCTCAGCCCCTGGCAGGGGAAGCTGCTGGCCAGTTCAGGACAGGGTTGACAGGAGGCCTGGGCTCATCAGGGACTTCCCTAGAGAGATGTGAGCCTCGTGTGGCCATACAAAACGGGGTCCAGTCTGTCCCTGCAGCTGAGACAGGCCAGGTCCCCGGCTGGAGGCCAGGTTTCCTGGGTACATAACCCCCTGAGTTTCTCCACTGGACAGTCTTGGGGACCTTTAATTTTTCTTTTAATTTTACTTATTTATTTTGGTCTTTTTGAGACAGGGTCTCACTCTGCAGTTCAGGCTGGCCTTGGACTCACTATGTAGCCTAGGCTGGCCTCTCACTTGCAACCATCTTCCTGTCTCAGCCTCCTGAGTTCTGGGGTTATAGGTATGAGCCCCCTCCCCCTGCTTGTATTTATTTTAGAGGCAGACTGTCACTGTGTAGTTCAAACTGGCCTTGAACTCACAGTGATCTTCTTGGCTTGGTGTCCTCTTCTGTAAAATGGGGGTTACCAAGACTTTCAGGTGCCCAAGGCAGTCCAGTCTGCAGGGAACGCGGGCCCCGTGCCGGGTATGATGTCCTGAGCCTGTGCCCCTTGCCTGAGTAGTCCTGGCCAGCAGCTCTCCCTGTCCTCCGTGGGGGCTTTGGTTCTGGTGCAGGAGGTGTGAGGATACGTCTCCAGCAGGCCTGGTTCTGTAACAGGAGCTCTGCTGGCCTAGCCAGGGGATCCCTGCCGAGGGGGTGGCTGGGGGCTCCAGGAGCTGTCTGTGGGGTCCCCTAAGGGGATCAGGGGAGGATGAAGCCCCCAAGAGCACCTGGGAGCCAGTGTGCGGGGGGCGGGGAGAAGCTGCAGCTGAACGGGGATCTAACCCTGTGCTGTGAACACCTCGGGCGGTTTCCGGGTCTTCTCAGAGCTAATGAGGGTGGACACTGCCCACCAGACAAGGGAAAGGAGAGAGTTCCGGGAAGCATCCAGGGAAGGGAGTAGTTGTGGGCCGAGCTGTGGGGCCTCTGTCAATGTCCGCCCTCCCTCTGCCTCCTGACCCAGCTCAGCATCTCTGTGCCGGCCCCTGCATCTGACTGTGCCCTTCCCGCCTCTCCTGCCGCCTTTCTCTGGCAGTAACAGCTGTTGTGGGCAGGTGGGCAGAGGGATGGGGTGGGGCTGGAGCCCTGGGGACAGAAGGTCCAGGCCACTCCTCCTCATGGGAACCCAGCAGGGGACAAACCCAGAATCAGAGCTCAAGAGCATTTGGGAGGCTTTGAGACCTGGATCACCAGGGAGGTCACCAGGGAGGCCACCAGGGGGTCCTTTCTGGTTTCCCCCAGGGCTGGGAGAGGGACAAGGACTTGACTTCCTTCTCGGAGGGTTTGCAGCCCGAGGAAGGGCAGGGTGCACCCCAGGACCGGGAGACCACCCAGAGCCCCGGCCACCAGACGGGCCCAGAGCTCAGGCCTGCAAACCTGGCCCTCCCATCTGATCCCAGGCACTTGGGAGGCTGAGGCAAGAGGAATGGGGAGCTTGAGGCTGACTTGGGCAACTTAGTGAGTCCCTGCCTCAAAATTAAATGTTAAATAGGTCTGGGGGTGTCACTCAATAGCAGGGCCCTTGCCCAGCATATGACAGGCCCTAGGTCCCAGCCCTGGGGATGCAAAAACCCAAAATAAACAAAAACAAAATAAAGATAAAGAGAAGCAGGTATGGAAGACCGGTATATTCCCCAGGGAGTCCCTTGGAGGAGGCAACTGGGCCACCCTGGGAGGCCCCCGTTCCCGGGGACATCCCCAGCTCCCTGTCTCTCCCCTCTGAGAGGCCAGGCTGCAGGAGACCTGCAGAGGGAGCTGCCAGGGCGGTCGTGGGGTTGAGATGCCCCCGCCGGCCCCTCCTGTGCTCTGCCCCCGCCCACCGTGTCCTCTCTCCCCGTGGGATCTGCAGGGCCATGGCCAAGAAAGCCACCCCTGGGCTGGGTCTGACGAATCTTCCTCCATCCATTGGCCCAAGGCAGTGCTGAGGGCTGGCAAATTTGCCATACGTCACACCATGCCACTCGGGACAGGACTCAAATGAGGTCCCTGCCCCTCCTCAGTCAGAG